GATTTTATAAAAATATTCTGCAGTCGATCAAAAACGAAAGAAAACCATTAATCAACATATGAACATGACCTGATGCTGCTGAAGTGAAGCAGAGCAAAGTTACAGAGGTTTGATTACAGACACAGCTGAGAGTTTTGCAATTTTGTATAATTTTAAAGTTTACATTTGTTCAGTGTTGAACAGCAGAAATGAGGCTTTCTTTTCCAAAGTAAGTAAAAGGAAAAAAACAGCGTCCGACAGGCTGTAAACAACGGTAGGTGTGTAACAAGTAAGCGAATAACGCAGAAAAAAGATTTTTAGACGGGAAAGTGCAGAGAGAGAGAGAGAGAGAGAGAGAGAGAGAGCTCTGCATGAAGTGTGATTTTATCGTGGTGGAAGAAAAACAGCAAAACTAAGTGAATTCATGCCGATCTTTATGTGAACCGTAGTTTGGATCTTCTTTTGCTGCTGGTTGAGTCAATATTGTTTGGAGAGATAAAAACCTGCAGCTTCAGAATCAGCGAGCTGTCGGCTTTCAGCCCCGACCGCGTACATGCCAGCGCATGAGAAAGGCGACAGCTCACTGATTCTGATGCGTCGGGTCGGCACTTTGTGTTTACATCTTTGTGCAGGACCCATGTCCCTGCTCTCATTTACTGCTTTAGCTGTTTGGTAGTTGTTGAAAATTTGGTTTAACCTGAGATTCTGGCGTTTCGGGCAAAATAAATTTATATTTAAAAATCGATTCAGGATTTTAATGACTAGATTTTACGTTATCAAAGCCAGAATCTATTTTAATCGATAAATCGATCATCAAAACCCAGTCCTAGTTTAGTGTTCTCTTCACAGGGCTGGTTAATCAAACTTTCTGATAAAATACTGCCCCCTAGTGGTGAAGGTTAAATTCTGCACAGTGTAGTTTCACTGAGGTGAAAAGATTCAGCAGAGAGAATACAGAGAGGGTATTTTAGTTACACTGATGAGAATCCACACTGTGTGACACTCACTGTGTGACACTCACCATGTGACGCGGGGTCGTGGTGAGCCAAAAGACTCACAGTGCAGTGCCACGTCTCGGCCCTTGGTGGCGTTGTAGATGAAGCCATCAGGGGACAGGATCTGAGGGGGGAGCTCTGAGGGAGAGACGCTGTCATTAACCAATCACAGGTGAGACAGAACAGAGAAGGACGTGAACCCAGCGGGAAACATACCGACGACGTAGAGGTAGGTGTTGAGGAGGATGGAGCCGTGGTCGTTTTTGGCTTCACACTGGTACACGGCCGTGTCGCCAATGTTCACGTCTTTCATTATGAGCGTTCCTGCGGTCGCCGTGCGCCGAGGTTCTTCATCCACGTCTACAGGGAGGGGGGAGAAGAGGCGAGGAGGCAACGTAGAGTTTGTCAAACAGAAACAGGCTGAATCTAAAGAAGTGTTTAACAGAGACGCTGAGGTCCACTGAGAGGAGCAGCAGCTGTCACCGGCTGTCACCTCCCTCCCTCTGCTACTCTCTCTCAGTTTCCCTCCCAGTGTGCTCATATTCCTTCCTTTTCTTCCTTTTATGTGGTGTTTAGTTTCTTTCCTCATTTTAATTTTTCTAAAAGCCCATCTTCATAAGTAACATGTAAACTCTGAACGTGCGAAACATCAAGAAGAAGGTTTGATACAGAAATGTGGACTCTTTCTTTGTCTCATTTCCATCGTCTGTTCTTTCTCTCCTGGTCTTCTGATTCAGTCATTTTTCCCTCTTCTTTGTTCTGATGATTTGTTTCTCTGTTTATTTTTCTATCTTCTCACTTCTCTCTCTCTCTTTCGGTGAGTCCATCTAATTCACGTTAAGCTTGAGAGGCTCTCTGTCCACAGAAAGTCGACAGCCTGGAGCCAGGAAATGCTCGCTCTGCCCTGCCTTCAAATCTCTGTCTGTGGCCATCAAGCTTTAATAGAATCAACATCGAGTTACCCGAAGCAACGGTTCACTCTGCAAAGTGCTGATCATCAGAGTAATACAAGTCTGTTTGCCCCAATTGTTTAAAGGTAGTTT